ACTCGGTGTTGTTAGCGAAGACTCCAGGCGGTAGATTTTCTATTTGGTTGCCAGAGAAGTAACTACAAAGATTAGGCATATGAAAAAGCGTGATTAAACAGTTACAGAAGGTTAAAGAACTGGATAGAATTCAAATCCTAATAAGAAGAATACAAAGATCATTTAAATGAGCATTTAATGTTTTTTTTGCTGTTTTTGTCCTTGTTGTCCTTATTGTTGTTGTTTTTCTCTCTACAGAGGCGAGGGGATCATATTGTAATTTTTTTCCGTCCATTATTATCCAGTTTGGGTTGTTTAGACGTTTCTTTAATGCTCTTTTGAATGCAAGTGCCTCTATTTGCCGATTACTTGATATTGTTAATAACACTATGTTTCCAATTATGTTTGTCTTTATCTCGAACTTGAGTTGTTAACTGATGTAGCATTGCGATCGTTTTGTGTATTACGCCACCTGCTATGCTAGTAGCTTAGAGTTCTAGAAACTGTGTGATATTCATTATTCATGAAGGAACATGCGTTTTAGTAAAATCCTGGAACATTTAAAGTAAAGCTAATAGGTTTGCAGGTTGATTAATTCAGAAAACAAATCATTAGACAACTTCTTGATATCGTTTATGCTTAACGATCTATGGGTGTGTATGAAAATTTGGTCAAAGATTAGACAGGATAACATACGTGATAAAACAGTTACAGGAGGCTGAGGTATCTAATGCGACCCAAATCTAACTAAGAAGTAAAAACGATATTTTAGGTGAGCATTTAGCCCACAGCACTCACGCAAACAACTTAATTTTGTGCGTTCTGAATTTGAGATTTAGAGAACAGACATCAAGAAAAATTTGGTGACACGCCTGGCAACGAAGTTTAAAAAGCACATCAAAATTTTTCATCGAAGCATCAATGATTGTGATCGGGGAAGCGCTTCACAATTTTTTTTTCTTCAAAAACCTCATTTTAAAATCAGTATATTCAGATTTCAAGTCAACTCATGCAATCGGAAAAAACCGTTTAAGGAAAGTGGAAGCAGTGCAAGTTAATCTTCGAAGTCTCGACACTCGCATTTCTAATTCATAAGAAACCCAATAAATTGCAGTTATTAGCTTATGCTCGTCAAAAATCTTACGAATAATTAAGAATCCAATTGTCTCAGTACGCACATTTAATGAGTCATGGAGCAAGTGAAGCACGTTAAACGTGTCAATTTGCGATTGCGTTCTACTCGAATATGGAACTGTACGAGAAGAGTATAAACCAGAGTTAGAAGAGGGCACTACTAACTCTGTTTAAACCAAGCTGTTTTTTTTTTTAAAGGATAAAATTATTTTACATTTTGTATCCTAACTTCTATATGATAAAAATGTAGCAAAATATCATTGAGGTTGAGCATAAAATAATTCTTTCAGTGTATCCGATGGGAAAAAAAAAACGTTTATTTGACTACGAGTTAGAGAAGGTTATAAAAAACTAGGTGATTTTTAAAATGCTCACCGTTTAGGCTACCTTAAATCAATTTTTAGGAAAATTCATTGCCTGACGAGGGAATTCCGCGTTAAATTGCACGCGAAAACTGACATCGCATGAATCGCGAAGCACGGTTTTCGTGTGCAATTTAACGTAAAATTCACGTGTCAGGTAATGGATTTTCCTTGAATCGCATAATAGAATAAAAATAATGGGATATACGGGATATATGCCTCGTTCTTAAAGTCCTGAATTATTAAACAGCCCATTTCAAGCGCGAATGACTTGAAAGATACCTCGTTCTTCAAGCGCGGAATACTTCAAATCTCATTCTTTAAATCTGTGAACCCTTTTTGAAGCTAGTGGGATTAACAAAATTTTTAATAGAAACTGAATCCCACTCCCACTAATAACAACGGCGATGGGATTTCTATTAAAATTTGAAGCGGGGTCTTGGCAAATATGCCAGTTGGGATATAGGATTTGATCCTGCCATTATGAGCTGTAAACTGGCCCCTCTGCAACGCATAGACTTAAGGGCAGTTAAAAAATTTGAAACCAAGATTTAGTAAGTACGTGAGCTGAGATATTGGATTTGAGTCCCAACATTACAAATTGCTATAGTTTACACGTGTGACTGGGTCTGTATAAGCTTCTTAAAAATAAGTCTCTTGGAATAAGCAATAAATGTTGTTTACTTACAGTCCAATCAACTTGGTGTTGTAGCTGAAGACTCCACGTGGTAGCTCTGCTATCTGATTGTCATCTAAGTCCCTACGTAAACGATATTAAGAAAGACAATAAAGCAAATTAATCATCTCATGAAGTTTTAAGACTTACAGAGTTTGCAAAGTACATCTGTAGGAATAGAAATTAACCCTTAACTTCTTTCCAGACTCCTCTTCTACTGAGGGAGACCCTTGGAATTTCGGCCAAATCCCTCGAGACCTTAGTTACTGGTCATCATTTATCGCTTAAGTAGCCGGAAGGGAAGAGTCAAAGGATTTGGTTTAAAATTGCAGCTCGCCTGCGAGAATTGTGCCTTTCTTTAAATTTACATCGGCAGCTCCAAAGAAATTAATTTTTTTTTGAAAAATACACAGCCTAAACTTGCGCAAAGAAGAGAACCTTAGTTTTGACATAATACTGTTTGTAGATGATTCAAGTTTAATAAACAAAATATCTCTTTTTGACCTAACAGTGTGTTCTCTAAGTGGGAGGGGGGAGGTGGGAATGTTAATTTTGAACATTCATTTTATGGAAAAAAGTCCGAATTGATTATTTTTTCCTGATGATTGCCTGCGTTAGGGAAAAGGCTTTGTGAAAGGTGAATTTTAACACGAAGGCGCGTTATAAATAGGTTGGCTCCTCCCCTTTGTTTCAGCTCAAATGCAAAAATCATCCAATATGGCGACCAACGTTCCCACCATGAGTGAAACGGTCTGCATAGAAGACACACTTTAAGTGTTTTTTTTTGTGTCAATAAATTAGAAGATATTGCGTCTTGTTGACTCTCATTCCCATAATTGAGCTCATTTTGATATTAATTGGCACTAACTTATCGTTCGGCTGCTCAAAGCGCATCTGCGGTCGACGAGACACTCGCACAGTTGTCTTTTCAAAATTCGAGCCGTGTAACTTCGGCTTATGTCCCAAGCCCCTGATACAAACTGGTTCTTCGAGCCTTCAGTTTATTCCCGGGGCTTATGTCCCAAGCCCCTGATACAAACTGGTTCTTCGAGCCTTCAGTTTATTCCCATTGAAACTAGCGGATTCATGACACATTCTATGCGCAGTGCTCAGACTACTGTTATCTGTGACAATTCTGTGACAAAACCTCTAAAGTATGGATGATTTCACAAGTAAGTGCGATTTTGAGACAGAATTTCACAACTCTAGTTCAGTTTGGAGAATAGTCTTGGCTGTCGCTGCTCGAAAGATATATTTATTGGGAAATTTATTCGTTATGGCTGAGGGAAATAAGCCATCTGTACCCAAGAAAAAGCATCCAACGGATCGAGGTCCACAGTTCTCGTTCAACATAGAAGTTCCTCGAACTCAGGAGAGCAGACTTCTCGGCATCAAAGACCGCATAAAGATGGCCAAAGACTCGTTGAATCTTACAAAAGCGACGACAAGCACACAGAATGCAGATTTGATGGAAGCTCTTCTGTTAGCTTTTGAGGAGAAAATTGAGAGGAAATAACTGACATCGAGCGATCTGAGCTTATCATCAACGGGAAGTCCGAAATACACCATCCACAACTGCACGGTTTTCAATTCCTTAAGCTTCTTCCACTCCATCTTCGCGTATTTCTTTGCCTTTTGCTGATCCTTTTTCTCCAATTTCTCCTCCACAAGCAGAACGTACGCCACAAAGAATGCAAATCGCTGCATCTTCAGCAGAGAACGACTCCTTATACATGTATCTCTGCAGTGAAGAATCTCCGCGAACTCTGTTTTCTTTTTTCTCTAATACGCTAACGACATCATGTTGTTATTGTGGAAAACCCCTCGCTTGTGAGTCACTTGTCTTCGATCGACAGAGTCATGTAGTGTCAGTGAAAATTTCATGTGTTGGTGGAGATTCTTTCAAGTGGCTCTCCTCCCCCTATCTCCTCCAAAGTACTATGTAAATTTCAGGTGAGCACTCTTTTATTTTTGCTTGAAATTTACTGAAATTTGTTATCTCGGTATTTTACAGTTTTTGTTTTTTGTAACTGATCACTTCTCTGTCTCTTTTTCATAGATTGATTCATGGAGTATTGTCCTGTGGCTTGACAGAGAGAGAATACACAAGTTTCTGTCAAGCAGCCAACATCGGGTCAGAGGGAAAAAAGACCTCCAACACAGGTTAGCAATGCACATGTTCAGATGCTCTGAAAATCATGTAGTCTTTCTCCTTGCAAGGAGAAGGCAGTCAGCAGCAGTTTGCAGGTTGCTAAATCATGAATGTTTTACCAAGATAGCTCAAACTGACTAAACTGTTCCTTCTTTGGTTTGTGCCTTACCAGATACAATTCTAAAATACTTCTATTTTTAATCACTTCAACAGTCTTGGAAAAGCTCAGTTACTTGACAGTCGTGAAGAGGGTCTCCAATGAGTCGATGTTGGCTGCTCAAGAACAAGTGAAGAGTAACCCTGCATATGCTGTGAATGGAGAGCTACAAATTGTCATTTTAATTTCATTTTGTCTTTGGCCACATACTTATACACCTGCCATACTCAGAATATATTATGTAGACTGACACATACAAATATATAAAATCTTATATCAGATTGTAAACCTTGAAAATATCTGTGAGTAGAGAAATGTGACCATTTTTATGTCATGATTTCTACCATTTCTTCCTACAGTGTGTTATAACAGATGCAAGGCATGATTCCAGTCAATCAGCAGCACACACAACAGTGTCAGCCCTTTCTTTCTGGTAAGATGGTTTCTACTTGATCTCTTTGTATGATATGTTGAACCTCTGGTATGTTCAATACCATTCCTAAAATTATTTCATTTTCACTGATTATCTTTAGGACCAAAAAGGTGTTAGCAGTTGTCAACTGGAGTAGGGCCAATGAAACTTCAGCAGTAAGCCGTGAGGTCCCTATGACAAAAGAGCTGCTGACTTATCTCTCTGAGACACAAGGTATGATAAATTTGCATCCTCAATAATATCATATTACATATGTAATACAAATATGGAGATCAGAAGTATCTTTTATAATGCAGCTAAAGTAATTCTTTTTTCATGGTTCCATGTTGCAGAGGTGGCATATGACTTTGTATTACAGCTAAAAATATGGATCTTGTCAAAAGGAATGCTTAATTCCTTTGACTCTTGGCATGGCACTCAGTACACACTTGTATTTTTTGGCTCATTTTGTCTTGATGATTATGACTATTTCTTGAAAGTTAGTATTTTATTGGTATTAATATTTTTTTATATTTATTTTTAGGTGCAAAGTCTGTGACAAAAGTAATGAAGGAAGTTGCCTCAGGGGCCCAGAGGGATGAGGGCTCAAAGTAGTTTTTTGAATTGTTCGACAAAGGTAAGATATCTCTCTTATGAGAGTCATCAAAAGCTATATTCTCTCCACAATTATCTGCAGATGTCAAATTCCTTCTTGATATAAGATGAATACAGTGGAATATAATAATTGTGAATATTTTACAGCAAAAAGTACAAGGACTCTTGTGTACTCCTGCATGAAGAACAGTCCACCCAATGAAGAAGAATTTCAGGGTACACTGTTGAATGTAGTTGACCATTACCAGGTAATTTGAGTGACTGTTTCTTGAGAACATAGTGTTTTGTTTTCATTTCTGTAAGTACCTTTTGTTGTGTTTTTCTAGTAAGATAGACATGATCATTACCTCAAAGATTGCACATATTTCTTTAATAATGGTGAACACGAGACATTATACTTACTATCATTATTAGTACTGATTTATTAATCGATTTTTCTATAACTTGGTGTATTTATTACTCAGGGAAATCATGTCAGATGCCATGCAGAGTCACGGTGCAAGCAGAATGGCTATGTGATGAGCAAAAAACTTTTAACTAAACCTGAAGTAGTAGCTGCATGCTTATGTTGTTAATTCTGCACAATTACTTTGGCACTTTTTGGATTCACTGCCTTCTCTTGCTCATTGACTCATTTGTCTTACAGAATGAAAATGTGAATCGAGAAGCATCGTCTCTACAGATGCACCAACATACCAGGCATCCAAACCGCCTGGCAGAGACCAAGGTGCTTACTTCAATTTAATTTCAGAGAAACTATCTGGTCTACCTTTTTTAATATAAACAAATGATGTCTCTTTTGTTTTCCATTGCACCACAGTTTCTGAGATAATTACAACTAGGAGCCCAAATGTTCAGTATTAATATGTGAGGTCATTAGAGAGGACCAATTCTAACAACTGCTGGTACCAAGCAATGAAAACATTAATATTAGGTTTGACACAAGGAATTTCCAAGCAGACTCATTCTCTGTTTCCTCCTGTTACTTTTCTTTGCACTGTATATCTTTTCCTAACCTATAGGAAAGTCACTATAATTTGCTGTGTGGACATTGTAAATGGACCATAAAAAATATTGAGTACTTGGGCTCTCTTTGAGGTGGGCATTTGTATGAGAATTTTATTATTCCCTTTTATGCCCCATATAGGCAATACCAGGAGGGTTAAGAAATCTTGACCTCACATCTTTTATAACACAATTGGGCATCCTTTCCCGCACTGCATTAACGTGGTCCCCCAGTTCGACTGTCGGAAATGAGACTAAAGAATCTGCTATGTTCCGAAACTTCACGTTTTATTTTATAAAATCAACTTAACCTCCCTCTCTCTCTCACCGTTCTCTGTCTCACGCTCTGGTCTCTCTCATTTTAAATATATAATATGATCCTATTGTTCAATCATCTGTCACTTATCGCAAAAAGTCAACCGGAAATCAATTAACGCTGAATAATCTCTCACACGACTTTTCTAGCCTGGTAAAGAGGGTCTTTCCAGAGCCCACATTTGTTCAATGCTCTCCAGTGGCAGGACAAAACATTCTTAGGCAGGACAAAACATTCTTAGGCAGGACAAAACATACTTAGGCAGGACAAAACATACTTAGGCAGGACAAAACATTCTTATGCAGGACAAAACATTCTTAGGCAGGACAAAACATTCTTAGGCAGGACAAAACATTCTTAGGCAGGACAAAACATTCTTAGGCAGGACAAAACATTCTTATGCAGGACAAAACATTCTTAGGCAGGACAAAACATTCTTAGGCAGGACAAAACATTCTTATGCAGGACAAAACATTCTTATGCAGGACAAAACATTCTTAGGCAGGACAAAACATTCTTATGCAGGACAAAACATTCTTAGGCAGGACAAAACATTCTTAGGCAGGACAAAACATTCTTATGCAGGACAAAACATTCTTAGGCAGGACAAAACATTCTTATGCAGGACAAAACATTCTTATGCAGGACAAAACATTCTTATGCAGGACAAAACATTCTTAGGCAGGACAAAACATTCTTAGGCAGGACAAAACATTCTTAGGCAGGACAAAACATTCTTAGGCAGGACAAAACATTCTTAGGCAGGACAAAACATTCTTAGGCAGGACAAAACATTCTTAGGCAGGACAAAACATTCTTAGGCAGGACAAAACATTCTTATGCAGGACAAAACATTCTTAGGCAGGACAAAACATTCTTAGGCAGGACAAAACATTCTTAGGCAGGACAAAACATTCTTAGGCAGGACAAAACATTCTTAGGCAGGACAAAACATTCTTAAGCAGGACAAAACATTCTTATGCAGGATAAAACATTCTTAGGCAGGACAAAACATTCTTAGGCAGGACAAAACATTCTTAGGCAGGACAAAACATTCTTATGCAGGACAAAACATTCTTAGGCAGGACAAAACATACTTAGGCAGGACAAAACATTCTTAGGGAGGACAAAACATTCTTAGGCAGGACAAAACATTCTTAGGCAGGACAAAACATTCTTAGGCAGGACAAAACATTCTTATGCAGGACAAAACATTCTTATGCAGGACAAAACATTCTTAGGCAGGACAAAACATTCTTAGGCAGGACAAAACATTCTTAGGCAGGACAAAACATTCTTAGGCAGGACAAAACATTCTTATGCAGGACAAAACATTCTTAGGCAGGACAAAACATTCTTATGCAGGACAAAACATTCTTAGGCAGGACAAAACATTCTTAGGCAGGACAAAACATTCTTATGCAGGACAAAACATTCTTAGGCAGGACAAAACATTCTTAGGCAGGACAAAACATTCTTAGGCAGGACAAAACATTCTTATGCGTGGTCAAAACATTCTTATGTCAGGACAATGGGGAACATTCTTATCTGCTGGACAAAACATTCTTAGGCAGGACAAAACATTATGCAGGACAAAACATGGTATTTCATTACCAGAATTTGCAGTAGCAGAAATTGGTGTTGCTTCTGGGGATAATCTCATCCCATCTTCACTGTGTGGCATCACTTCACGTGTATGTCTCAGGTGTCTGCGGTTCCTCCTATAAATTCTTCCATCTTCTGTTCTGACTTGATAGGACCTTATGTCGACTTTGCCTTCGACTCTTGCTTGGGTCCAATCCTTCTTCTTTCCCAAGTGGGATTTTAGTGGCTGCACTGTGTCTCCTGGGCGCAGTTCCTTCAGTTCTTTGGCGCCTTGATTTTAGTACAGGGATTGTTTAGCCTTTTGTAGCTTCAACTTCTGATCAACCTCCTCTGGTAGCTTCGGCTTGAGCAATTGGTTTGAGGTTGGGAGTGGAGTCTTTGTTCTTCTACCGAATAATCGCTGAACAGGTGACGAGTTGAGTGTTTCTGTGGGAGTATTTCTCCAGTCCAGCAGGGCAAGATATGGGTCTTGTTCGGACTTGACGGCTTTCTCTAGCAGATGTTTTGCTGTCTTCACCGTGTTCTCGACTTTGCCGTTGGACTGAGGATATGTTGGAGAGCTTGTTATATGTTCAAAACCATAAGTGTCTGCGAACTGTTGGAACTTTGCGGAAGAAAAGGGCTGTCCATTATCCGATACAAGCTGGTCGGGAATTCCATGGCGGGCAAGATGGGCTTTCAACTTCTTCACAACTTCGTCTGCTGTCTTGCTTGTCATTCTGTCGACTTCAAAGAAGCTTGAATAGTAGTCAACGGTCACCATGAAATCTACACCGTTCAGATCAAAAAGATCAACTGCGATTTTCTCCCAGGGTCTACTAGGCAGTTCGTGACAAATCATTGGCTCTTTTCCTTGCTCGACAGGCTGGCTGTTGCAGACGGCACACTTTGCTACATAATCTTCGACATCTTTGTTCATCCCAGGCCAGTAAGCTACTTCTCTTGCTCTTCTGAGACAGCCTTGGATGCCGATGTGGCTCCGGTGGATCTTAGCCAACATGTCAGCTTTCACGCTCATAGGGATAACTAGTCTTTCACCTTTGAACACCAGTCCATTCTGTAAAGACAGTTCGTCCCGAAATGTAAAGTAACCACTGATGTTTGCTGATACCCCAGCTTTGGTAGCTGGCCAACCTTGCCTGATTGTTCTCTTCAGCTCTCTCAGGGTAGGATCGGATTCTGTTGCTTGCTGAATGGCAATCAGCGTTGGTTCCGATACTGGCAAGTATTGTATCATATTGATGTGCTCTAGCTCTCTTTCAGTGTCTCCTCTCATGTCCTCTATGTACATAACATCTTCTGCTACATCTTCTTTTGTGCTCTTGCGCACTCTGTATGCTCTGCTCAGTGTATCTGCCAGATACACTTCAGTCCCTTTTTTGTAAGACACTTGAAGGTCAAACTTCTGCAATCTTAGCAACATTCGCTGGAGACGTTTAGGCGCACTGAGTAGACTTTTACGGAAGATGCTCTCCAAGGGTTTGTGGTCAGTTTGGATCTTGACAGGTCGACCATATACAAACTGCTCAAAACGTTCTACTCCGAAAAGTATTGCAAGCATCTCTTTCTCTATCTGGGCATAGTTCACTTCTGTTTCTGTCATGGAACGAGATACATAAGCCACGGGCTGGCCTCCTTGCATTAGACATGCACCAAGTCCTCGGTCTGATGCATCACACTGCAATTCCACGTCGTCTTTGGGGTTAAAATACTTGAGGACAGGGGCAGCTGAGAGTATCTCCTTAACTCGCTTGAAACTACAACCTTGTACTTGCTCATCCCAACGGAACTGGTTCCCTTCTTTCAAAAGGTCTCTCATTGGGGATGTAACTTCTGACAGGTTAGGAGCAAACTTCTGGAGGTAATTTACCATGCCGAGAAGTCTCTTGAGATCTTGTTTGCTTGTCGGGGTTGGCATCTCTTTGATACCTTGTACCTTGTCTGGGTCAGGCTTAAGACCATCTTGACATATAACATGTCCCATAAACTTCACTTCTTTGCGACGGAGCTTAAGCTTCTCTTTGTTTAACTTAATGCCAGTAGCGCGGCAGCGTTCTAACAATGCTGTCAGCTTTGCATCATGATCAGAAAGTGCTTCTGTTTCTGTTTCTCCGACACCAAAAACAAGGATATCATCAAATATTGGCTTAATTCCATCAAGACCTTCCAGGGCGTATTCCAATCTCCTCTGAAACTCTTCCGGAGCGGGTGATATGCCGAAGGGCATCCGCGTCCAGCGGAACCTTCCCCAGGGGGTACCAAATGTGGTCAGAAGACTGCTTTCATCGTCTAGCTGCACATGCCAAAAACCGTTCTTTGCATCGACGACACTGAAGACTTTAGCATTTGTAAGGAGTGGTAGTAGATCGTCGATCACTGGAAGGGGAAAATGATTTCTCCTGAGTGCTTTATTCAGAGGTTTTGGGTCAATACATAACCTTATCTTTCCATTGCTCTTCTTAATGACCACCATTGAGGAAATCCAATCTGTTGGAACATCTACTGGTTGCAAGATGCCTATCTTAACTAAGCGTTCTAGTTCCCGTTTTAAAGGCTCTTTTACTGCAAAGGGGACTTTCCTCACTGGCAGTGCCACAGGGGTTACAGACTTATCAATCTCGAGGTGAAGCTTTCCTTTGAGCTTTCCTTCTCCTGAGAAGACATCTCCGAATTTGCTCACGAGATCCGGCTGTGTGGGAATCTCATTCGAGAGAGACATGATGTTATCGGTGTTAATCACTATGAGGCCAAACTGCTGCACTGATTCAGCACCAAGGAGTGCTGTGTGACCTGTTGGAACGACGGTGTATTCCGTGAGGAAACACTGTCCATTCTTGGGGTTGAAGGTCTCGACCTTAGTACATCCTAGAGGTTTCAGCTCTGATTTGTTGAACATGACAAGGGTAGTTTGAGTAGGCTGAAGGCGTTCCATTCGCGGATCGTTAAATACCTGCTGATAAATATCTGCTGGGAGGATATTGACTGTTGCTCCACAGTCTAACTGGAATTTCACTGTTTCATCCCTCAAGCGCATGTTAGCATAAATCTTCTTTGGACTGTTTTTTGCATAAAGGACGCTCACAGATTCTACACTGAATAAGTAATCATCAGAATCTTCGTCATTAAACTCCTGAACATCTTGTTCTACATTGTGAACTAACTTCTTAGTTTGCTTTTTTCTAGCTTTCTGACTTCTGCAAGCCACTGAGAAGTGGTTCATTCGACCACAGTTATCACACTTGTGCTGCCATGCTGGACAGAGTTCCTTTTTTAAAGGATGGGTTCTGTGGCAGAACTTACATCTAACTGGTTCTGTTACTTTGTTGTGGACGGGGCGTTGAACTTTACTGAAATTTCGTACTTCATTATGGCGTAAACCAATCTTCGATTTTGGGTGGCCTGTGGCAACGGCGCTAACCTCCTCCGCATGGGACATCTCCTTAAGTTGTTTGGATGTGGTTTCACTCGCACGGCAAATATCAATACACTTGTTAAGAGTTAGTTTGTTCTCAGCTAGCAGCTTTTTTCGGGTGGCGTTATCTCTAATTCCTACGACAACTCTGTCTCTAATCATTCGCTCTTGCATGA